TTGAATTTAAACCGAATTAGTAGTTCACATATGCTCTAATCTCCTTGACAATCATGTTAATTGTTACGACTAATGCAAAAGCTTAAACAGACGAAACAATTTGTGCAAGAAATAAATTGCAGAATTTAAACCCAAACTAGAGCGATTTATGTGATTCGAAAGTGTACCTATGTCATGGAGAGAGTTGATGAGATGGTTTTACTAAAATCGGGAGATCGCAGATTACAACTGATCAAATGCTCACCATCTTAGTGTTTCCCCATCTTAGATACACCCTAATTAACAAGAAATCAATTACAGGAAGAAATTTTCTTACGCTCTCAACTCTCTTGAATGATGTTTCTCAAAGATTTTTGAGTTTTTTTCCCAAATTTTTATATTCAAATATGACCTACAAATTGAGTTTCAATGTAAAACTTGTCGGCCCCATGTGGATTCGGTCGACCAACTTAAGCGATCATAGCCTTGCAACTATGAATGGCTCTTGGGAAGTGAAAGGCATAATGGGTAAGCCGCCCAAGATGGGTCAAACTAGCACATGAACCAAAAGGCTTACAAGGTGGTTATTTTCCTTTTACTATAAATAATTGACTCCCAAAGGAAAACGTACATGATTTTTACATACACAACAAGACACCTTTTCGAAAGAATGTCTTCTCCAGTTTTTCTTCGAAACACTAATGGGTACTAAAGATAATCGAGGATTGCTCTAAAGTGTGCAAAGTGGCATTTAATCTGTGGAAATACCGGGTATGTTCGTTATGTGATATGCATGTACGATCGGTGATACAAGATGATGATTATTGGGCACGTTTTCCGAGTTATTCGAATGTGTTTCAAATATGTTGACTGAGGAATGTATTTTCCTAACAAGAAGATTTTCGGTTGACCTACTAGTTGGCTTGAACGACTAGTGTTGGGGTTGTCTAATACATGTCTTGTTCCTCCAACTTCCGTCCCTAAGCCACACCAATGTTGAGTGTTTTGGGCATCTCTCACCCCAAAAGCTAGCTCAAAAGGTGAGGCTTTCCTTTACACTAATAAACCGATCACTTGTCCCTTTCACAACCGATGTGAGATAATCCTAACAAAGTACATTGTTGGCTCATTTTCTAATGGTTCAAGTTTTGGGGGGAAAAAACAGTTTGTCTAAGAATGATGAGCAAAACTAAACAAGTGCAGTTGTACATGAACCAATTTCATAGTTTTGTATCAATTCTCTGCTTGTTTATTCCCTCAAACACTACGTATTTGGTCTTCGGCATTTATTCGCGTTCTCTATCTGCGTTTGGACAATATGAGATATGTCATGATCGAAATGTTGATTAGTGAATTTTTTCACAAAGTACTGATACTACAATTGAATGGAGGAGAAAATCTCCTCCGATCAGGGTTTAAGGAAAATATAATCCATCATTATGTATAAACCACTCCGGATCAAGGTCGTTTGCACAAGTCAAAGGCCCATATTAGACCAGTTTATGGGACTTCAAGATGTTTCGGAAATCCCCATGTAGTTAGCACAGATCTGTGCTCATGCTCCTAAGTTATAAAATAAAAATAATTCATGAATTATTCAGATATTAGTGTTTAGGATAGAGCTATACCTTCCTTTATCCCTAGTTAGAGGAAATTTACTCAACCCATACCTTTGGTCAATGGTTTACAAATTATAGACATTGCTTACATACAAATTTAACTATATATACATGTCGTCAATATCCATATTTATAAGTCAACAATCAAAAGAATGGTTGCGGGAGAAATTTTCTCTAACAAGATCGGAGAAAAACATGACTTTATATATACCCTTTTCATAATCTCTCGACACCAAAACAAGTGTATGTAAATAAAATTCAGAAGAAGCTATTAGATGCTCATGTGTCACGGGCTGCCAATTCCTTAACTGTGTAATAGTCCGTGTGGCGCTTGACGTGTCGTTTACACCAGGCTAGCCCTCATTCACTAGTTGTTCCAAAGAATAATACGGCGAATAACTTCCTCGTATTGGATCGTACCACGTCTAACATAGCTCGGGCGTCTAGTCCATCAAGCGAGATACACAAAATACTTTAGGTACGACAACTGATTTCGGCCTGCCATGGCTTCATCAAGAGAGCAGCATCAACTCCCGATCAGTTTATGCACGGGAGGCGAACTCCGCCTTTAGAGCTTCTAAGGTATATTCATTACATCCTATAACTCCTAGCACAAACCAAACTGACACTACTCTTACGACCCAGTTATATTTATCCCTGCTGCATCCTTACTCTTCACTTGATAACTCCGAGCACCACTCACAAGAGTAAAGAAGTACGAGAGAATCACGGTCCGTGGCACATGGCCATAACTTCAAACTTCAATAATAGAGCCCGATCAAATATAATTTTTTTTTCTATTTTTGGCCAAGGCGTGTGATCGTAGTTAAAATAACTACTTCACACTGGCTAGGACTCTCTCCATTCATGAGCGCATTTACTCCATGAAAAATCAACAAATTTTAATTATTCATATCACTTAAGAAAATGAGTTAACAAAAATGTGTCTATTATAATTTTTTTTTATATATAATAGGGTGTTTTTCTCAAAGAAAACACTTTTTAATGCATTTTTCTAATCGACATAAACAAACAATCAAAGTTAGAAAAAAAATCTTTTCCAAATTACCAATTTCGCGCGAAACAATAAGCTACCGATAAAGAAGCAACGCATTTACTAGATGAACTCTTATTACGATGCGTTTATTTCGAGGAAAATAAATATTTTCTTAAAAATGATTGCTTGTATTGTTTATAAAAATGAACGAACGAAAAATATTTTCATCGATCACGATAATATTTATATATATATTAATAACGGAACATAATATTCAAATTATTCGTTTTTTCTTGAAACAAGCAAAGGTTAAATGGACTTTTGAAAGTTTTAATGTAGGAGGTGGAGGAGATTTATCATAAAGATGCGGTAGCGTGATGGATCGAAAAATGTCACGTTGAAATGTGTTAGAAAGTCTGACCCACAAAATTATTACATTGATTGAGACTGAACATCTATGTAAAAGTCTTGCCAAACCAATGAATAAAGGTTAAAAACTCACCTTAGATTTCGTATGTTATATCCGCAGGAGTACGGATCCAACCGAGGCTGAAACAGCCAAAGAAAGCGTAAGCAAGGACGGCCCCTTAAATGAGAAGGCATTCAATCACACTTTGTCACTGCTCAACTACCAACACCAACCTATTTTTACTCTCACGCACACGTGTCACGCAACCATTCGCCTTCCTTTAACTATCCAATTGCGTTTAAACTCATCCAATTTACTAGGGCTGCCTTTCACATCCTCACGACATGCATGCTGGCCGGGGCGGCTCCGGCTCCGGCAGCTCGAGCCTTAGACCTGCGGCTTTTTGGCGAGGGCGCTCTAGCTCCGTGCATTCCCTGCGCGAGAAGCGGCACAAGGCCCATGCCGACAGCTTGTTCCAACAAATTCAGATCGCTCAACTCGGCAGCCAAGACCATGCCAGATCGCCAAGGTGCTCGCAGGTGCTTGGAAGCGGCTTCCGGCAGCATCTCTGGCCTTAATTACGGAGTCGTCGCCGCAAGCGCGGTAGGGTCAGCATCGCGTACGTTATCAGCCCCGGCACTAGCTATGATAGGCATGCGGTTTCACCAGTATAAAATCGATCTTCTTTCGTAACATATGGTGGAACAATGAGACCAAAAGCATGACTTGAAGTTATGCCACTTTTGGTCTTCAAAATTGTCGGGTTTTTTATTGTTACGTCCACATCAATCAATAAATTTTGAGAAACCGTGGAGACCAGATCAAGCGACGCACTTAAGTTGGGATGCGAGGCCTCTGTCTAGCTTTGGAAACTCTTGAATGCGGATGGTTTCGTACCAAATGATATAGAACAAGAAGGATGAGCCATTTGGGCGAAACCCAACACGATACAATACTACCTTCATGTACTGCCAATTGAAAAGTTGCTACATTTAAATGTTAGTGAGTAGTTCAAACGAGAATTGGTGTTCGAAAATCAGTTGGCACGTCTACATTAGTGTTGACTGTGACACGTAAGATAGTCGGTATTCATGTTAGCAATTTCCAATCAAAATTGACCGGAGAGACTAAATTGATAAATTGTCATAATGTTTATGACTCAATTGACACAATTGAAATATCGAGAACTGAATTAACACAAGTGTAATAAGTTTAGGACTTTGTTTTGTTATTTTCCCGGCAAACATCCATGTAAGTCTAGCTACTTGGGCTATTTAAGAGGCCATAACCCAGAACAAATGGGTGGAATGCCAATAAATGACCTCTGGTTTCTAAACTGGAAATTTGTAGACATCCCAACTAATTGCGCACACCATGGGGATTAACCAGGCCTAATAATGTGACACAAACGTAACATAAAGTTTTTTCTTGGAGACAAGGCGAGAAGTACCATAAAGGCAGGCATTCTAATTTTACCCCAAACGAAACTTACCAAAGGCCATCCCAAATTGGAAAAGTTCTTCTACGTACTCAAATTATATAAACTCACTTCATCTCAGTCATTAAAATGGTGTGGATCACATGTAAAATTTACATGATTTAATGGCTGGGATATAATAAGCTCATATACACTGTGTGCAAGCGAAATTCAATTCAAAATTGTGGATGGAAATTTCTAAGGTACGCACATGGGTATAAATGCTTTGAACTTGATTACGACGTAGTGTCGTAACGTCGGCGATATCTACAACGTTGTGGTACTTGATTACGATTCAACGTTGTATAGTTTGTATGATGCATAGGGTGTGCTGTAGTGGACCTAGGGTGCCCGATTGGTGGCAAATCTGCACGAGCCGTACTAAGCTATCTCTAGATACGCTCTCTCTCATATTTAAACCTCCCCCACCAAACTCCATCAGAACACTAAATGAGATTCACCTACCAACCAAAACCTCCTATTCAAATCTCCTCCTATATAAACAACACATTCTTCCATATATCCCCGAGAAGAAGAAGAAACAACAAGAAGAACACTAGCGGTGTGTCATCCAAAAGTCTTGCAAGTGCCCTCCAAGCAAAAGTAGTCACGAAAATGGCCAACCCTGGACTCCTCAAGGCCGCAGCTCTGGCGGTGGCCGTCGTCTGCATGGTGGTGGCCAATGCGCCCCCGGCCGCGTCGCAGGCGTCCTCGTGCAACCAGGTGATCAACACGCTGATGCCGTGCGTGTCTTACGTGCTCAACGGAGGGACCGTGCCGCCCGCCTGCTGCAGCGGGATCCGGTCGCTGTACTCGGCGGCGAAGACCACGGCCGACCGCCAGGGCGTCTGCAGCTGCCTGAAGTCCGCCATCAACGGGATCTCCTACAACGCCTACAACGCCGGCCTCGCGGCGGGCCTGCCGGGCAAGTGCGGGGTCAACATCCCTTACAAGATCAGCCCCTCCACCGACTGCAAGAGGCAAGTGCATCGTTTTATCGAGCGCCATTAGAGTAATGCAGTAAGAATACTTTCGAATGTTCTTGCTAAGCCTCATTTTTTGGTTTGTGCGACTGTGTATTGCAGCGTGAAGTGAGAGAAAGATGGAGCGCCGGACCAGATACTTCCGAGGGCAGGACGAAGATTAACGTTAGAATAAGAGGAACTACTACTATCGCCTCGAGCGACGGCTCCTCTAGTTACGACAGTAGTAGTTGCTGTGTCGTTCTGGATCTCTGTGTCGAGCAGTGATGCCATGCGTCGTGTAATATGGTCCGATGTGTTCTAAGCCATCTATGGAGAAACTACTTTGTTACTTTGAATGTTACGTGTTTCCAGTGCTTCAGTGACCAACTTTGCCTCTTGTTCTCAATTCGATACAAAAGCGTGAGTTGTGAACATATATGCTTGCTGAGAACAAGCATGGAGCGAAATATGACAGATCCGAGTTGAATGACCCATTTTGATATATCTAGTTATTCAGTAAGGTTTGTTTCTCGGGAAGAAGGATTTGGAAAATATTTTTCTAAAATTGATTGCTCGAAATAACTATTCGATTGGAAAATGTTTTTATTAGCGAGAATAATTTTTATTTTAAATTTTTTTTGTGGATGGTAGAAATATTTTTCGTTCATTTATTTTTGTAAGAGATACAAATGATTATTTTAAAGAATATATTTTTCAAATCATTTATTTTCTCCGAAATAACTGAAGCTTTAATATATCAAAAGATAACCCTCTCTAGTTACGAATTTTTTCAAGTGACTACGATAGAGTCGGTTTGTTTCGAGGAAAAATGAAAGTAGTGGTAAAATGATTTCCATTTTGGGGATTGTTGTAATTTTTCTAAGTTACACTGAAATTTTGAAATGAGTTAGAAATCATTTTCTAATTCTTTGTAACTTCTTTTTTTTTTTTTTTTGATAATTGGACATGGATTCGATGCACAACCGCTAAAACCCAAACCCCGGTCACCGGACACTGGATTGGGCACCCAACCCCGTGCTTGAGCAAGATCTATTACTTAAATATTTGCATAATGCTGATTAGATAGTGCGAGCAATAGTTGCAATTGGCATAATTGAGCGTGAATATATGTACTAATGGAGCCGAGAGCCGAGTTACCTGCGGTAACTCCTTAATTCTTCGTACTATAGAGTAAAATTAAAGAATGGGTAATAGTAAAAAGAATTGTTGCCTTAGGACCTAGATCTGAGGTCATCCACGACGGCCTAAAGACCCAAATCGAGGTCATGGGCAACCTCGACTATCTCGCGCTACACCTCTACGAGAGAGAAAGAAAGGGGGGAGGGAGGGAGGGGGAAGTGAGACGAGTAAGAGAGAGCATACCGGAGGAGAGAGAGCACGGAAACATGAGCTCGGGATGGGTCGGAGACTTCGCCGGGGAGGAGGATGACAGTCGGAGGCAGTTAAGAGGCGGACGACGGCGGTTGGTGGTGGTGGTGGTGGGGAGATTGGGGCTTGGGAGTGAGCGGGGGTCTGTCAAGGACATAGCCGAAGTGAGAGATGGACAAAAGAAGTCCATTCATCGATGGGGCCTGCCCTTTTCAACCCAACGACCTCACCACAAAGAAGCCCAAACAACAAATTCTACTCTTCTATAGCTCCTTTTGGAACCGTGGTCATAAATTTATTTCTTAACATATATATATAATTAGTTGAGTCATTATATGTATTAGTTGTATTTAGTAAATTTCTCATAAATAAATTTAAAATGGAAAAGCCCTAAATAATATGGGCGCTTTTTTTTGTTAGAAAAAAAACATAGATATTAAATGATTTCACAACTGATTTTGACCCAACCCACTTTTATGACTCTCTCTCGTCCTCACTCACTCCACACTCTCATCTTAATTTAGGTACGAATTTTCTTAAATCATGTTAAATATGAAAACGTTTCAGCAATATGTGTCGAGTCGGGTACGGATCATGTCGGGTACGCGTCACTAGATTTACATTATATTGAAAATAGGTCAAAACGAGTTAAAGGGTTCGATTTAGGTTAGATCCTTTCGACCCAATCCGACCCACCGGTGGGACGGGTTCACCCTTCTCTTGTGTGTCTCTCTCTCACTCTCATCCTTTTTTCGACTTTGGAAACTGGTGGAGCTCCGCTCGCAATGCGTGCCTCCCCCCGCACTACTTTATCCCCAACCCCTTTCCCCTTTCGACTCAACGTCTCCACCACAAAACAAGCCCCATCGTTGAGCTCGCTGTAACCTAACGGCCGCGCCATGCGACCAGAGCACAAGCATCCCCACCAGCCGCCGCCGCCGCCGCCGCCGCAGCAGCAGCAGCAATGGAGAGTCAACCTCCACGCGAGGTCCGGGAACTTCACCGTCGAGCTCACGGCCACCACGCCGGTTCCGACCTGGCGGCCCCGCGACCCCCATCGCCTCTCGCTCTTGCTCAGGCTCTGGAGCTTCGTCCTCCGCGTCCAGTCGGACTGCGAGACCGAACTTCCGAGGCGACGCTGGCGGTCTCTCGGATCCAGATTCCTCGGAGCTCTCGAGAGAATCCGAGGATTCCGAGCCCAGAAACGAGCCGTCGCGACGCTCGAAGCCGATAAGGTACGTTACAGACTACGGATTCTTGCAACGTAAAGAGTTTCGCAACTGAGGATGTCTACATAATTCCATCGGTCCTGTGCACGTGTAGGCTGAGATCGGGATTACTCGGCCGTACCTCGTCCTCGTCCTCATCTCCGCGTTTCTTCTCGGAGCGGTCTCGGCCCGCCGCCTGGACAAGATCGGTGCGGGCGCCGCGGCGGCGGCTTCTTCGATGATCCTCGCTCGCGCGTCGAAGAAATTGTTCGCGAGCTTCGCGGTGGTGCTGTTGGGTCTGTTGAGCGTAGCTCGATCGTCGTCGTCTCGAGCGCTTGATCTGGGGAAGCACGCGGACTTCGCCGGAGGCTGGGCGCCGCGAGGAATCTTGTGGAAGATCTGGAAGAGCGCGGCGGCGTCTTGGAACTCTTGATCGGCCCGAATTTGATGGGGTTGGATCAGGTGAAGCGAAATCTCAGGCACTGTGATTCATTTCGAGAAGCGTCCTCCGCCGCCTGCCGCCGCCGCAGCACAGGCCGGTACGAGTTAGAGTAGAGCCGGAGTAGTATCTAAACGAGCCGAATCTACGTCGCAGACGAACCGAAGTAGGCGCTAACCGGCTCGGCCGATCGCCTACATGTGGTTCTCGATGGAATACGGTCGCTCTCGGCGTCGATTTCGCGTTCTATTTAGAGTGTTCGGATGTTATTTTTTGTGTTACGCTATCGTACATTGTGCAAAGATATAATCGGCTTCTAATTTAAAAAAAAATTGCTTTTAAATCTGAAGGACTTATAAAAATTAGTGTAATCAAATTCGTCCGTTAACTTTGTCCAGTTTGGCAGACCAAAACTACCGCCTCTTCTTTAGTACGGTCTCTCTTCGAGGTGGCCATTCTATCAATGAAACCATATAGGATGACCGAATTGACATCCTTTTTCACCCGGAGGGGGGTTGAGCGCCGCTCGCCAGGAGACCCTTGCTCGGACAGAGGTGAGGGCTTGCGGCACTGACTTGCGCGTGGTGGCCGAGCCACCGCCACATTACAAGGGATGACAAAAGCGGCAACTTGAGGACTTCGACCGACAATGCCGTCTCGAAGATCGCTCCGGCGACGTCCTCTCGGACGAACCCACTTCTCGTTGGTTATCGGAGCCCCTGTCCATGATCAATCGGCGTCGCTACATAAATGGGCCGGATCCTATTTAGAATCCAATCGAACTTGACTATTTATTGACGGTAATTGCGCAACCAGTTTTAGAATTTCTAGCTCAGCTTATCTCGTGCCCTTGATGCCATGGTCAAATCAGCGTCGCCACGTAAATGGGCCGGATCCCACGTTGCGTGGGCTGGGCCCAATCCACAAATGACGACCGCATTCAAATCGACTGGGCCCCAGGTGGGGCCCATCGGCCAGTGATGATGGGGAAGCTTCGGCACGAGTGCACGGCGTACGCGCGCACCCACTCAAACATAAGCGCCATCGACAAGCTGTCCCATGTCGGGTGGGCCCGCCCCCCCCCCCCTCCCCCCCCAAAAACCCGAACTGGAATTCTCTGGTTGGAAGGCGCGCGAGCCGTCGATCGGACCCGGGTACGAGCATCCGACGGCCAGCGTCGAAAGTCAAAGCGGCATGCCGATAGGTCTCTTTGACCACACGGGAATTGTGTCGTTAGAAATTAATGGGGGTTTTCCTTTCCTTTTTTGTTTTTTAGTCCCTCTTTTGTTTTTCCTTTTCTCCGCCTTTGACTGGATTGTCACTTCAAACGAGGCTCTCTTTCTTTGAAAATCGAGGCCACTTGGACCCGCTTTTACGTAACTGCCCCTGCCCCCCCTGCCCCCCCCTGCTGCCCCCCTCTGCCCTCCTCGGTTATGCATTGAATTGAATGGATTTTGTAAGCACAGTTTCTTATCGAGTATTTCGGATGAGCCTGTCGATGGCTATGATCACTCTCTCTTGTTTCCGAGGATGGGAAAATGGGGGTCGAACTAATTCCGCGTCGGAAATAATAAGGTTTCCGCCCACGCAAATTCTCGCTGTTTTTGTACGCTCTCGTAAGTCCAGGCTGACTAGCTAAGCGCGGACGGAACGCGATTCGTGCCGAGAAAACAAAGGAAAATGCACACCGTGCGACTTACGCCGTGATATCGAACAAAACAAAAACCGGGTAAAAATTGCGAGAGCCATCCTTTAAAGTTTTCCTCAACCGTGCTTTGCGTTCCGTACTCCGCGCTTCCGTTTCCAACCTTTTTAAAAAATAAACGCGGCTTTACATCGTGGTATCTCGAAAACTCACGCGTCCTATAGATGCGGTAGATGCAGAGCCCGCAAAATGCAAGTCCCCCGAAACTGCAGGGAACGATGCCCATGTCCGAAACTGCGAACGTCGTCGCCGCCGTCGTAACAAAAACACGGCTTTCCAAAAGCCCGCACGCGCGCGGCTTGGCCCTTTGAAAATTTCCAAAATTTTTTACCCCGAAAAATTTCCAATTCTCCGGAAAATATGTAAGGGGGGGAGGGGCAAAACCGGGAGAGGGAATTCCCGCTGTCGCAGATGATGATTAATAATTTTACTAAATCCGGTTTTTTCCTTTCTTCTTTATGGTAGGTTTGACCACTGCTCACTGGGCCCCACTCCCTCCTCCCTCCTCCCTCCTCCCCTTTCTCTCTCTTCTCTCTCCAGTCAATTCCAATATTCCTCGGCATCTCTTCAATCACACACCCATCTTCTCTTTCTCTCTCTCTCTCTATCTCTCTGCGCTTGGGGGGCACCATTGCCTTTGCCTTTTCCGTTCCGGGGCTTTTCCTTTCTTTTCCGCTTTCCCCTGTTTTCCCATTCTTTGACCGCCCCTCCTCTCCCCTTCCTCTTCCTTCCGCGCCCCGAGAAAATCGTCGATTGGACCGCAAAGGAGACGAAGCTTCAAGCCCCCCCCCAACTCCGCCTCCGCCTTCTCCTTCTGCCCCTCCTCTCCCGCACCTCGCCTGCGGATTGCGCTCGAGCTTGTGGCTCCCCCACGCCCCCGCCCCCGCCTCCCTGCACGGTGGGATTCGAGTCTCGCGCGGGCGCGCGCTCTCTCAGGTAACGATTTGGGTTCTTTTGTTGCTTCCGGTTTCGGGGGGTTGTTTGGTCGCTTGGTGGGTGTGTGTTGTGGGAGACGCCCCGTGGACGGGTTGGTCCTCGAGGGTCCTCGTTAGCTAGCGCGCGGGTGGGTTTTTGGGGGTGGGTCTTCATCCGCGGCTCCCGGGGAGGGGAGGGGGGGAGGGGATCTTGCCGGCGCGGCCGGGGATTCTCCGGCTGTCAGGAAGTCGCCGGGGGGTTGGAAATGGGTGGTTCTTTCGGAGGAGAATTGTGGCTTGGGTGATGGGTTTTTGGGGGTTTCGCTAGATCTGTGGAGATGGGCGATCTTTGTTTTTTTTTTTTTTTTCGGGTTGTCGTGCTTCGATGAATGGGTGTGGTGATTGTTTCGCTGGACCAGGGAATAGGGCGATGTGTTTGTTTCGTACTGTTGGTGAGTTTAGGAAATTTTTCAAACATTATTGTCGTTTCGGGTGATGTGGTTCGGGTGGGCAGAGCAGCGGAAAATGGACTGGCTAGATGAAGTCCTTGATTTATTATATTTGCCATGCTCGATCGGAGAATGTGGGCGCGTGCCCGCCCGTGTTGAATGGCTTTGTCCACTTTTGGATTCCGATTTCCGATTGCCTCGAGATGGTGCGCCATGTTAGTCTAGGAAGTCACGGAATGAGTGCCTAGTGTCTCCTTTTGGGAACAGCCAATGAAAGCGAATGAAGACGAGATCTTTGGTAATTATTTTAGAGGCTCGGATGCAGGCTGAAGGTGGGGAGGATTATAAGACGAGCCTAATTACAAGGAGGGGAGAAACAATTTGTACAACCTGCTATTTATGGTGCCCGTTTGCTTGTGCAGTCTAATATGACCTTTTTGTCAATGTGTTATGGTCGATATGATTCATATAAATGATGCCTTGGGAGTTGAAGACGTACTCGTGAATTGCACAAATGAACCCAAATGAAGTTCTGTACAAGTTTGAGATGCTTATGTGTTTATTGTTTTTCTTTGGCAGGAACATAGACGACCAGATAGCAGCTGCAGATTTCTGAATCTAGAATGGGTTGTTTCACCGTTTTGAAGGGTAGGAAGAAGAAACCTGAAAGAACCAGTTACACCAAGCATAATAACGACTCTAAGGAGCACATGCCAATGATTCTGCCCGAACCGCAGATACGGACGCGGTCATTACAGTCTGCTCCACCGAGTTTCAAAGCTAGAGTTAAGCCTGTTCAGACAGTTTACATGGTAACAAATGGTAGGATGCGTGCATTATCTGCTCCATCTATTGCCTTTGATATGGCCGAACAAGATGCTCTCTCATCGGCTGAATTTGATGAACTAGAAGATTCAAGATCCCGTACTTCCATGAAAGAACCAAGGTCCTCGAGTCCACAGCCTCTTCCCCTTCCATCACCTCAGGGTGCTGCTGTCCTAAAAACTGCAGGAAGCTTTAAGTCCGCAGCAGGGAGTGGCCCACTATACCCTTCTGGACCCTTGCCTTTGCCACCCTCAGGGGCCCTTCGAAGCTTTTCAATTGACGAAATTGCTGCAGCTTGCCATAATTTCTCTGTAGATCGATGGACATCAGGTGGTCTATCTTCAATAATGTATAGAGCATCCTTTGGAGAAGATAATTCGAGTTCAAGGAAGTTTGAAGCTACTGTCACTTGCCTTCAGACGTCCACTCAGGTAACAAGTGCTTTAAGATGTTGTGTGTGCAACATCCGTAGTTTCTTGCGGAGCTTAAAGATATTCGATGCAAAAGAATGCTAGGAGTTTTTTACTTCGCTTTGAATATGAATTTGGCAGTTTATGAAACCTAGATCTCGTGACACTCACTAGAGGTTCGGTTATAATAAGATGATCCGTCCTACAATCTTCATTGGCTTACATGTATATGTTTGAGTTGATTGGCCTACTTGTATAGTAGCCTCACAAATTTCTTTCACCTGTTGCTTTTAGGGGATAAAAGAGTTCATAAGTGATGCAAACACTCTTGCATCTTTGCAACATCCTTACCTCTGTAAGCTGCTCGGGTACTGTGCACGTGAGGGTTCAGAACTAAGAGCTCTTGTGTATGAGAGGCTTTACCATGGAAGCTTAGACAGGCTGCTATATGGAAGATCTGATGGACCACCTATAGATTGGAACACCAGAATGAAAGTTGCCTTATGTGCTGCCCAAGGTCTTACTTTCCTGCATGAAGAGGGGCCCTTTCAGGTAAGCAAAAGGCTTTTGTTTCTCATTTCTCTATGCGTTATTGGTGACACATGGTGCAGTATGTGATGAGAAAACTTGAGAAGGCTTTACAAAATTCGGATACAGTTGAAGACAAAAGTCTGACATGATGAACTTATATTTCTAGGGTCCTGATTCCAGGACTTATGGCCTTACAGAATTGTAATTTGAATGTTCAATGTTTTTAGATACTGATTGGACTCTTACATTTACAGGCTATGTTCAATGAATTTTCAACGGCCAACATCCAAATCGACAAGGATTTCAGTGCCAAGCTTTCAGGATATGGTTGCATTGGGCACATTCAAGAGTCGGATATGTCCTACAGTTCGGTGGTGAGTTCTTACTTCGACTTGTGTTCTGACTTCCTTGGATTGTTCAGTCTGTTTCTTGGTCAACAGAATTTCTATTAACCACCATGTTTGCGTCAGTTCGATGGTAGATATAATTGTCATTTTTATGTGTGTTCAGGCATTGGCGAACCTTTCCGTGGAGACGGTGGAGAAGGGATTGCTCACTCCAAAGAGCAACGTATGGAGTTTCGGCATAGTTCTTCTTGAACTGCTCACAGGTAGGAAGAATCTGGATAACAAGTTTCCTAAAGAAGAGAGGAACCTGGTCAAGTGGAGTCGGCCTTTCCTGGCCGATGATTGCCGGCTATCACTAATAATGGACCCTCAGCTCAAAGGTCGTTTCCCGGCTAAAGCAGCAGGATCAGTAGCTGACATTGCTCAGCGATGCCTCCAAAAAGAACCTTCAGAAAGACCCACGATGAGAACCATTGTGGACCTTCTAAAAGTCATACAAGACGTGAAGTATTCCTGCCGGTTCCCTTTGCAAGAGCCAGCGGCAATTACTGGGAAGCAAATGTTGAAATCTCCGAGCCTAAACGGAATCATGGTCCCAACACCCAAGTTGAATTTTTCCCCGTCCCCACCCCCTAGAGTGGCCCCACCATCCGTCTCTCCCAGGAAATTTCGTGCTCTACCCACATCTCTTCCTCCTCGCGCATGTTCCTCGACCCTTGCCTTGGAGGAATTAAATTCTCAAGAAAGCCGAAAATCTTCATCATCATCAACCGTGCGAAGGGCTAGTGTGGAAGGATTTTGATTGTTGATAACGTGATTTTATTTATTTATTCTCGGGTTCTCGTGTTCATTCGTGATTTAGTATGAAGTACAGATTATAAAGGTGTGGTTTTTTCACCTTGCCATCCCTCTAGGTCGGGTCATAGAGGGGATGCTGTTTTGTAGATAGAGTGCAAGATCATGCTGTCTATTGTTATACAAGAATGCCATTTAAACCAGAGTGGCCATGTCCTTCATCTTGGCAATGTTGTCACCAGCGCTCGTCATTGTATATGCATGTTTCTGTCTGAATTATTGTTAATGGTTTTGCAATAAGCCTCTGTGGAGGAAAGTAACGTTGATATATTCCTTTTTTAAGTGGAACTGCAGATAAAGTGTAATTATTGAAAATATGACATACTTGTCTCCACAAATTGCGTTCCTGACCTGTTCGTTTAGCAGGAATGTCTATGCCAACAATCGGGATTAGTTATCTATTTCACGGGACTATTTCAGGGAGGTGTTTTGGGGATGATTCCCTCTCTGCTGGATGCTGCTAATAGAACTGTCTCTGAAGCGGAGGAATTCTGGAGCTGCCTCTGCAACAAAAAAAAAAAAAAAATTCTATGACCTGACCTAAAAGGCCAGACATTCTGTCGTGGTCGGTATCGATTTTCAAGCCGGGGCTGGAGGTTTGTTCGATGACTATAATCGGGCTTACCTCGTCCGCCGCGGCGGAGCTTTGGGCTCCAGATTGCTGGTTGATCAAAAGATGGAGAATCTGCTGATTGAAAATTTGAGTGTTCAACTGATCCTTCCTTTACCAATATAGTAAAAGATTGCAGGCACTTGCTGATCTCTATCCTGGAACTGAGGATCCAACACGGCTTTGATGCAGCAAACCAGTCTGCAGGAACGCTGGTGGCGAACGGGAATTTGGGCATTCGGTATTGGTTCCCAACTCGTTCCGCATTAAATCCTCGGAACTAAACAAAGACTATTCTCGCGCAACTTTTCTTTCTTACAAATAGATTTTTGGAAATTTGTAATGGTGATGTAATTTCTTTTTAATAATTCAGGACTGTAAGTGTAGAGATCCAGATCTATCTGAAGGGTCATTGAACGCTTTGTAAGTTCCATCAAAGCAACTCCCTCTCGCTTGCTATGCAGTTGTACACATAATTGCTCCGTAAATGCAGGCCCGAACAAAAGGGGGACTAATTTGACAACAATCACAATTCAAGGACAAAATTGAACATTAGCTTTAGGGGGTGTGCAAAGGAACTGGAACTGCCCAGACCACTCGGAATTGGACTGGACCGGCCTGGAACCAGCGGTTCCCGTGAGGACCGGTCCGGTTCCCGGTTCTAATTTACTAGAATCGATGAGTATCGATCTGGTTCTCAGTTTTAGGGGTGAAACTGCCTACCGGCCCACCCGGACCAGACCGGTAATACATATATATAATTTTTAAGAAAAATGTCAACCAAAAAAAAAAAGAAAACATTTTTAGAAAAATAAAAACCATAAAATCTCTAATTTGAAGCTCGACTTTTAACTCTCATCAACTCACGGCCGCACTCTAGCTGTTCATCGCCTCCCTCTCTCACTCTTAGTCACCTTCATTTGCGCGAAATTTGTTGAGACTGGTTCCATCGACCCACCCAAGAATCGGACCGGACCGGCGGTCCAGTTTTCGGGTGGATCCATAGAACTGTGGACGGTTTCCGGTTCCAATTTCTCAGAACCGATCCTTAGTGGGCGATTCTAGGTTCTATGTTGAGAACTGTCCGTCCGAACCATGCTCACCTCTAATTAACTTAGAGGTGAGATAGAGGTGACATATGAGCTGGATAACTCAGCCTGGGAAGAGGCCCATGATCATTTGCCGTGGCCACTAGAAAAGGGTCTCCGCGCTTGCCCATGCCGAGCATGCATGGCTACTACAATGTCAAGCACAAGAACAGCCAAGCTACCCTGTTTGGCGTGTGTAAGCTCGGGGATCAAAATTTTGACATTGTTCATTATTCTGAACAGAGCATGCCAAGCACATATGGAACGAAAAAAAGAAGATGAAAAATATGAAAAAACATACCTTAGCTTGCTCTCATTATTACTCATATACCTCTATATTTGAAAAGTCGACCGTAATGGTCCAATGGCGGTGGCTCTTGTCCTTCGATCCAGGTTGTTCATGGCCTCGTCGCGGTTGGCAACCTCAATTGGGCGTTTTGAGCTGCCACGAACAACCTTGACTAGTGGTCGTCCCTGGCTCGAGGGAGGCTTGCCGGCCTCATATTGAGCTCAACGCCATCGCGGTGTGATCGAGAGAGAGAAAGCCCAAAGGCAGAACACAGAGGACGGAGGTGGTGGCGCCAAGGTTGATGGCGAGCTATGGCAAGCCTAGCGATAAGAGCGTGGTGATGGAAGGCGTCGACGGTGATTGGCCGCAGCGGTTGTGCTCAGGATTTGAATTTATTAGGCAATTTCGAGCGAGCATGAGATTTTAAGATCTGGGCGATGATATTTTGATAAGGAAAACATATTTTCGTTAATAAAGTTATAAGAATAATTGACATGAACACATGAAATAGGGTTAATACTATTAAAAACTTCAAACTAGTGCACCGGTAACAAATTTATACTCTTTTAGTTTTCGTTAAATTTTACAGTCAAACTACCATGTTGGATATCATGTGATGGTTGACGGATGTACGAGTACCCTTCGTTAGTCACAAGGTTTTTCGTGGTATTAATCCAATTTAGCGGAAATTAATTGTGGGTAAATTTGTCACATGTTCACCAGTTTATGGTTTGTTTTGGGTAAATTTATCATAGATGTACCAGTTTGGGACTTTTGGTAGTCAAAAAATTATTTTTAGCTAAAACTTATAACAAGTACACTAATTTAGAGTTTTTTGTGATATTAACTTTTTATAAAAAAATTAGAGATTCGAAGGTCGCGATGGAAAAAAAAAATACTAGTCCTATAATCTTGGTATTTTCCGACCAAAAAAAAAATGAGAAAAGGAAACACCTTCCTTTATCCGCGCTGTAAGAAGGAACACCAAATTCATTCCGCCAGGACGCCGAGAAGCAAAGCCGCACTCGTCCACGGCAATGGCGTCTCTCAGCCTCTCCTGCGCCGTGGCATCATCTTCTCCGTCGTCATCTTCTTCTTCTTCCGCTTCTTCGTCGATGCTCCGTGCGCCTGCCCTCTCCCTCTCCTCCTCGAAGCCGTCCGTCTTCTCGTCCCGGTCCTTCCCCGGATTCCACCGACGCGCTTCGTATCCGAGTAATGGGTCAACAGCCTCTCGGTCCCATTCATCTCTCTCTCTCCCTGCGCAGAGCTTAAAGTCAACTCCTTTCTGATGTGGGTTTCGATTGACGCCCTCTGTTTCGCAGGAATTTATGCTCTGTCCAGTAACGACATAAAAGTCGGCACCAGCCTCGTCGTTGATGGGGCTCCCTGGCGAGTTATCGGTAGCTGCTTCCTCCGTTTCCTTATGAGATAGTCTCGGTTTCTCTCGCTCTCCCTGCTAGTGTTCGTTGGGGTGGAATGTGCATATGGGTTGGGCTAAATTCTTGTGTTTGAACGTTTATGACTGCGTTTGTGCTGTATCCTGCAACGTCATTGCAATGCGTTCTTGGTTAGTGGAATGCTGATAGTCTGGCGCGTTTGCGTTTATCTGGTTTCTGATTGTATGGATAGCTGTGTTGTGAGAACCCGACAGCGGATGCAGAGTTTTGACTTACAAGGGGACGAGGAGCTAAGGAATTTGGCAAAATCTAAGCTTGGGGGGCGAGATTATACAGATTTGACATGAAAATTTTGAATAACATAGCAAATGCTAGTGAAATTAGATGGAACACCTGACAGTCGAGGCTGGTTAGCACCAGTGGGTACCTGTGATGGGTCTTTCTCCTTTTCTCTCATTGCTCCGGTTACTGTATACGAATTCTTCATGGGTTTTAGGGCCAGTTGGCTCCATAAATCGCTGGCTTTCAGTTTACTTAACTACCTATGGAGACATTTTGCACAGAGATATGGAGATCAAGTTCCCTTGTGGAAAGTTTTTATCACATCGGGCATTTATTAGTATAACTTTCACGTAATTGGTTCTCTCTTAAAAATATTCTTCTTCTTCTTCAAAGCTGGCATTGGCTGAGTGTGGGACTTTGGTTCTGTGTTGCATGTTTTGCGAAGTTTTAAGCTGTTCACAAGGCTTATGTGTTGGCTACCTAATTCATTTGGTGGCATTTTTCTCCATTTAACAGTCCTAGGTATTCTGCTGTTTGAAATATGCAGAATTCTTACATGTGAAACCTGGAAAAGGAGCAGCTTTTGTTAGAACCAAGATGCGCAATTACATAACAGGAAACACTGTTGAGAAAACCTTTAGAGCTGGAAGTTCGGTTAGTTTCTCAGTCTTCTTGGTCTCTTATTACCCTTTGTCTTATTGAGGAGGCTAGCATAGTATGAACTGGTATTTCCAGTTAACTGATTGTCGATTTGAGGAGAAAGTGTAATTGTTATATACTGAAAGTTGTCATTTCATATATGGACTCAGCGACTTCCATTGTATAAACTCTATCACAGGATGTTCTTGCGTGTGCCATACCTGCCAAAATACAAATTCATTGTTCAATCGCAGTTTACTTTTACTTTTACTTAGAGTGATGGTTCAGTCCATTAAAGGTGAGGTATCTGAGTGTGGACAGAGGAATCATGTCAATCCATACAAACCTTGGTCAAACTAAAGACTGCCTTGATTATTCATAAGAATTATAATGGACGATACCTATGCAAGTTTATATATGCGACCTCTGATTTGCAAACAGAGTAACTCTGTCACTATTATCTTGCACATTGATGCCTATGGGTCCTTGATTCCTGGGCTAATTGCATAGAGTTTTATGGTCTAGCTTAAGTAACTCATCTCAAAAACGCCTCATGGAAAAGAACGTCGAAAATAGTATGTCGACTGCAATAAGTTGGGCAAAGCTTTTTGGAACTTATAGGTTCTGTTAGAATGATTTATGTGGGCTTCTACGTTGATTAACATTATTTAAGGATTTGCTTTTTGGATGATCGTGAACATGGCCGTATTCCTCTTTTAGAAGGATTGCCACAGTTATAGGATAATTTCACAGAAATAAGTACCTGCATTTTGATTCAACGCCTTAGGCAGAACCCTTCCCAAATATTTTTTCCTCCTTGAGATCATGCCAAGCATTTAGATTTTTTGGAGATTGCTGTCTAAGCCAAGACTATCTGATGTCTGGATCTTTTTCCAGATCGACGAGGCAAATGTATCCAAGGAAACCAAGCAATTCACTTATAAAGATGGTGCCCAGTTTGTCTTCATGGACTTGGTATGTTCCTTTGTTCATCTAGTTTCCATTTAGTGCACTTTTCTCAACCTGTTGTGCTCTGCTCAAGCATCACCTGCTTCATCACTCGAGGAATGTCTTTTCTTGCAGTTGTTTATGTGAGTGTATTAGTATCTAGGCCACTTTAAAAATGATTTGAAAAAGGAGCGGCTGCTATCAATATGTTCAGTCTTCTAAGATATGTACTTCTCATATGACAGACTACCTACGAGGAAATTCGTCTTAATGAATCAGAGGTTGGTGACAAGACAAAGTGGTTAAAAGAGGGTTTGGACTGCAATGTACTGTTTTGGAATGGGAAGGTGATTTTACTTTCAGACCTTAGTATGGTAATTTAAGGTGTTTTCACCATATGAATATGATATGCATTCAGTGTTCTTGTGTCACAAAGTACATATGGATTTAATTAATTTAGGAGCAGTTTGATGTAGGGCCAATATCAAACCGCACCTTGACAAAGCCCCTATGTGCTTCTGTGAATAAAGAGGCATATTGGATAACAATTCTCAGATGACAATCAAGCTGCTATATTCAATAATTAGCCATCTCATTGTGCAGCATTGTCTCTGTTGCAGGTTATTGACTTTGAACTCCCGATCACAGTTAAGCTGAAGGTAGTGGATGTTGACCCTGGTCTTAAAGGCGATACTGCTCAAGGTAACTTCCTTCTTTCTTTCTCAAACTAAAGAAAATATTTTCTCATTATTGAGGTATAAGGCCAGTAAGTCAGTTCTAGAAATATGACGCGAGGCAGGTGGATTATTTTAAGTTTCATGCACCTCTGTTCAATTTGGCAATATCTGAGCTGTGCATGATATAGTGAGAAAATGTTCAGGACTTTGTGCTTTTCCTTTGTTGCGATAGGGCTTGGGTGGTGAAGGAGAAGTTGGTTGTTCTTTCTGACGATCTGATCTGATGATTCATATTCTTATAATAGGTGGATCGAAACCAGCGACACTTGACACAGGTGCTGTGGTGAATGTCCCACTGTTCATGAACACAGGTGACGAGATTTTGGTAGATACAAGAACTGGGCAATACATGAGTCGTGCATGAGGTTTTTAGCATGTATGATTCGTACTTACTCCAAACGTCTAGCTAGACCTGTGAAATCACTCATGAGGCTTAGATAGCAGAGAGATAGTTGCCCAAATTTCATCGTTGAGCAATTCTTTTGTGTAGTCGATTGTAGTATTTATTGCTCATCACATATGTAAGAAAAGAGCAAGTTTTGTGCCCAAAGCTACGGCATTTGCAATTGCTTTATTTGTTTTAAAACTTTTCAAGCGCAGGAGACGTTCACAATCCAGGTTTAATTGAATGTTTACAAGCCAATAACTGTACAAAAGTCCTTGTTTACAAGTCACATCTTCAAGGACAGGTATACATTCAGTTTGATTGTGCAACAGTCTTAGGAACATACAGGGTTGATCAACGGATATCGAGCCTCTCTTGTTATGACGGTTGGGCTCTCGCTACCAGGGAATTAATGCCAAGAGAATGGAAGATAATTTGCTTGCTTTGACACTTGAGACTAAATGAAAAGTGTCGTGGGCCAAAGAAAGAAGCTGGCCAACCAAAAGGTTCAACCATCACACACAATTGGTGTTAACGGACGTAACATTAAGAAGCATTGCTCCGTTGATGACTTCAATTCCAGAGCTATTGTCACACCGAGGCCACTTGGAACTATGAGGCCATCTCCCTTATGTAGGTGGTTACTGTCAATGTCATGACACAAGAAGGTGGTTACAGTCATGAGCTAGCCAAGACTCTTCCATTGGCACCTTCGGGCTTCTTCTCGGGAACGACACCTTGCTTCAATGCCATACCATACACATTACGAGCGCATAACCACCTTCGTTGTTGATTAAACTCGTTTATAATGACGTTGTACACTTCTTTACTGGGATGCCCCAATCTCTCATCCATCAGGACCAACAAAGCCTTGTCCAGCTTTCCCTCCCTGCAAAGTGCTCTCACCACTCTAGCTAAACTAATCATTTTTGGTGAATGCCCTAGTGTCATCATGTGCTCCATATTGAACAAAGCTTCTTCATTTCTATTCCCCACGGAAAGCGTTTGTATGATAAATCCATAAGAGCTCTCATCGATAACACAACCCCTGCTTCTCATTTTCTCGAACATCTGGTAGGCGTCATCCAATAGGTCTCTCTCCTTCCAAGAAATCCTGCACAAAGCCCTCAGTAATGTGTTCAACATCCTCTCTTCAACTTCAAAACCATGTCCTACCATCTCTTTGTAAGCCCTCGATGCAGCCCTTATTTTCCCCCACTTCAACAAGCCGTGAATCAAGGTGCTATAACTGATGCGGTCTGGCACGCAATCTCTCTCCTTCATCAGCTTCAACACACCAAAGCCTTTTATTGGCGTCCCTTCTTTGCAATACCCATTGAACAAAGTATTGTAAGTGACAACATTCGGAGACAACCCTGCCTCTAGAGCTTCATCAAGCAATTCCATGGCCTCTGGTGACCTGCCCACTTTGCAAAACCCATCCATAACAGCTGTGTACGTGTATATGTCCGGCTTGATCGAAATCGAATCCTTCTTGATGCTCTCCAACATCTCATATGCTTCCTCCACCCTCCCAACGTAACACAACCCTTTGATCAAGCAATTGTACGTCTGGATTGTGGGCTCGCAACCAGCTTTGTTCATCAGGCCGATCACCTCCAAAGCCATCTGCATTTTGCCCTTTCTGCAAAACGAATTCACGAGGGTCGTGAAAGTCGCGACGCTTGGGCAGAGCTCATTCTCCACCATGAAGTCCAAGATTCGTGTAGCATCATCTAAATCGTTCTTCAAACAGTGGCAGACGATCGCGGTCGAAAACGTCCACGTGTCCGGGACCAACCCACGAGACGGCATTTCGTCGAACACTTGCAAGGCGGTGTCGGGCTCGTGCGCCATGGCCAAAGCCGCGAGCAGATCGTTGACCCCGGACAAGCTCCCCATCTGCCCATCTCGCCGCAGGAGACGGACGAACTCGACCCTGTCCCCAGCAGGCAACGCCCTGATTCTTTCGGCTAAGTACTGAACCCGAACCGTGCAGTTTCTCTGCCCGTGTTCCTGATTCTCTGGCTCCCGCACTTCACTCGGCTCTGTTACCATTGCGCTAGTTCCATCGACAGAGCCGTGCCAATCTCTGCTCTGCCCGAAACTTTTGACGAGCTTGCTTCCTCGGACTTTCCTGAGGTGTTGTCGGGAGATGACGATGCTTGGAAACGAGCAAGGCTTGCACTGCCAAGGAAGATGAAGAAGTGGGGATGGGGGAGGACATGGAGTGGATGATAGCGAGGAAGGATGAGGAGGCATTATGCCCGTGATGGATTCACGGTGCCGCCGGCCATCAAAGCCAGCATTTAGCGGGGGTCTCTTGGCATGATGGTATGGTAAGGTTGAAGCCGGTGGTTGTACTTCAATTTGGCATAAGATGATAGATGCTTAAGGTAATGCGTGGTATGATTGGTAATGCCATGCTGATTTGGGGGGATCGTCCTAGGGAAAACAGGTCGGTCCAACGTGCCGATCGAAACATCATTTTGAATATCCCTATATGTAAATCTCCCTTCCACACTTCTCGTACGTTACCTTGAACATTCGAATCGACACTGCGATAATAATAATCTTGCTCTCTCCATCAAACCAATCATGCTTTTCCACTAGGGCATCCATGCGATTCTTTTCGTCCATATCGTCGAGGAGGAGAAAGTACTCTTTTACTAGACAACCTATCTTTGATTATCTCAACCCCTTCATCGACGTTTCTTACATTCGGGTATATCCCTCCAACGATGCTAGAGATGAGCCGGTTTTGCACGAACTCAATGCCCTCGAGTTTCTAAGTTTCTCGGTTGTTGGAAACAGTTTTAGGAAATCGCGTGAAAGCTGATTGTAGATTGTTTTGGTGAGAGTCGTGTTTCCAACGGCACCCATCTCGCGGTTTTCCAAGGATCCGTGTTTCATGTGTACAAGAGACCATCATTTCCATGATTCTATAACACATGATTGTCGATAGGGACCACACGGTCTGATAACCCTGAAATCCTCCTTGTCAAATTCTCTAGTGAACTCACTTTCGGGCCTCATACTCCTTGACAAATTGTCTAGCACATTTTTTTTGTGTTAAAAGATTATTAGAATATCTCTATTGATTCTTTATATCTTTTAGGATTGCACATAAATCTCACTTTGATTGCACATATTAATTGAGGAATAATTACCAAAAAAGTCGTAAACCTATTGTACGAATGCCAATTCAGTCCTAAATTTTTCAATTTGGTCCATTTAGTCATAAACCTTTTGACAATTTGCCAATGTAGTCCTTTTGACCAATTTCGATCGGAAATTGCTCACGTAGACGCTGTCTGCCTTACGTGGACAATTTTTACAATTTTTAAAATTTTTACAATTTTTACAATTTGCCAATGTAATCCGGTGAGGGTGTGGAAATTGACATCAGACATGGTCCTAGTCTCATTCCCATTCTTCCTTTACTTGGTCCTCGTTTCAACACACGGCCGCTGAATCAGTCACGGCTCCCTTGTGCAGAAAAGACCAGAGGATGACTCGAAGCGGATGAAGCTTCTGTCAGCTGCTGTTAGTCATGGCCACGGGCCGGTTTCGGCCGGGAACCGGCCCGGTCAAACCTGGGCCCTACCCATTGACCAAGCCCGTAGTTCGGAACCGAAGCCGGCCCGTGGTCTACGGGCCCGGTTCCGGTTCCAGCAATTTTGGAACCGACCCGGGCCTGGTTCCAAAAAAAAAATTAAAAAATTTAAATAAATTAATTAAAAAAAAAAACCTGCAGCAGGGCCTGCACGTCTGCAGACCCTGCTGCGGCCCGTTGCCAGGGGCAGCCTTTGCAGGCTGCCTTGGAAACGGGCAAAAATAAGATAAAAATAAAAAAATAAATAAAAAAAAATAAAAAGATAAACCGGAACTGGAAGTCCCTCCCTCCCTCCCTCTCTCTCTCTCTCTCCAAACCACAACGAAACATTGAAACTCAGGAGCGCGCGAGCGCGAGAGAATCGAAATCGGACCATCATCGGAGAATCCACGGCAGCTCCGCCGGCGATGTGACGATCCGGCGAGCAGGAAAGAGAGCGTGCGAAGGAGGAGCGGCAGAAGAAGAAGAAGAAGAAGAAGATCCGACACGCCGTCCCGCCGCCGGATTCGATGCACCCGTACAATCGCCTCCCGAGTAGCGGACACTACAGGTCCGGAACCGGCAGGAACCGGAACTGGAACCGGCCCGAAACTGGAACCGGCCCGGAAATGGAACCGGAACCGGAACCGGCCGGTTCATACATGGCCATGAACAGGAACCGCCGGTTCCGAATCGGAACCGGCGGTTCCTGAACCGTGGCCATATCTAGCTGCTGTTGTCAAGTCAAAGCATTTACCATGATCAGGAACAAACCAGGGAGTGAGGAAACGTTGCAACTATCCAAGCATGAACTTCTCTCGTGACATGTGACATCGAAATTCCAGAGTCTGAACATTTTTGGTGTTCAGTACGTTTAACAAGTCTCATATGACTAGGTACGCTTTTGCTGTAACCTAGAGGCACAAAAGCCTAGCTACATGGAGGCCCTACGATCCGAGCCTTAGGCCCGTGCAGATTGTCCCGACTCAAAGTAATCTGTGCACAAATTGTAGGTTTTGACTAGAGGTGAGCAAGATGGACCGTTCAAATCGGGATCGGATCGGATCAGACCGACCGGTTTGGTCCGGTTCTCGGGAATATCGGTCCGGTTGCCGGTTCCTAAAAGTGGACCGGTTCCCGGTTCTAGGGTAGGAACCGGACCGATAAATATATATATATTTTTATTTTTTCACATATATATTTATTTACTTTTTAAATTTTTTGAAAAAAATAGAAAGCCTAATCTAATTTCCCCAATTTCCTCTTGCCTTTATCAATAAGTGATTGGTCCTATTGAAACCGGACCGATCATCGGTCTAGTCCGGTCCACGGTCCCAATACTAGCCGATCCGGTCCCCGATCCTAGAAACTGGGAACCAATCCTTCCAGTCTGATTCCCGGTTCTTGGGTTGGACTGGATTAGATTGAGAACCGCTCACCCCTAGTTTTGACCAGGTGACCTGTGTTTTCTAGGTTGGAAATGTCTTGACATCCCAATCGAACCATGCCACATTCCGGGCCATTAATATGATGTATTAGTTTTCTTCTAGAGAATGCGTAGGAAAGTAAAAGGTTCTATTAAATGTGAAGCAAGAATATTGCGAAATGAGATATTGACGGGTATTATATAAATTTTCCTACCGTAATTCAAAGTCAAATTTAGCTATCTAGTTTCCGTTACATAAATACATTGAAAAATCAAAATGACATCTTGGGCACGTTTGTTTCAATGAAAGAGCTTTTCGTAAATTAATTTTTCGGACTTTCACGTGTTTGGTTCGCTGAAAATGGTTAGTCAATAGAAAAACACATTTGTAGTTAAACATAACACCCGCACTTAAAATTAGAAAAATGAATTCCCGTTTCTCATTTCCCAAGCATAAACAAATTTTTCAACTCGGTCACACTTTTTGAACGTACTACCAAATAAATGAAAACTAACTTTTTTTCTTGAAAATAATTTTCACGGGAAGTAATTTCCTTTATCATGAAATTTGTAGTGAAACAAACACACCCCTATTTCGTGAACCTACCTTGAATATAAACGCTGGCATCGCATGAAAATTATTTTTTTGGCCCGAAAATAGCTTAGATAATCGTCTTATTCAAGGAATCTACTCAACTGAATTAGGTTTTAAAAATCACCTGATCTATCTATCAATTGCACTGTTTAACTTTTGCAAAAAAGTAGATTTGATTATTGGGTCAAAACCACAAAGTCGAACCTAATAAATTTTTGCTGCAACCATTTTGGTTACCTTTGGGCAGGAAAAAGTACAAAAAAATTCCTAAGCCTATTATATGGGTACAAATTCAGTCATAAACTTTTCAATTGAACTAATTTAGTCATAAACCTTTTCGCATTGGTACCAATTTAGACCATTCGATTAATTTAGGCCGGAAATCGATAAGGTGGATGCCGGCGGTCCTATGTGACACCACCGGCGCTGATGTGAATAATTTTTTCAGATTTTTTTAAATATATTTTTCTTTTTTTTTCTTTTTTTCTCTTTTCTTTTCTTTCTTTTTTCTTTTGTTAGAAACTGGAGGCCAGTGAGGGCCCCCGCGCCCTTGCCTGCCACGAACGAGGGCTGCGACACCCCCGCCTAGACCAGATGAGGGTCGCCAGCCACTGGTTTCTAAAAAAAGAGAAAATAAAAAAAATAAAAGAGAAAAAAGAATAAATATTTAAAAAATCTGAAAAAAAAATTATTAAAAATTATCAAAGTCAGCATTGGCAGTGCCACATAGGACCGCTGGCGTCAACGTCAACGATTTCCGGCCTAAATTGGCTGTGGACTAAATTGGTACCAATGCAAAAAGGTTTAGGACTAAATTGGTTCAATTGAAAAGTTTATAACTAAATTGGTATCAATGCAATAGATTTATGACTTTTTTGGTATTTTTTTCCTTTGGGCATGGCCAGACTTTCTCACTAAGTGCCATTGGTCAAACCTATTGAAAAAAGCCTTCGGGTCCTTGTGGATTGGGCTAGGCTTGTGGTCCAAAGGGAGAATCTTTTTGGCGAAAAGGATGCGAAGACTCGTTGAAAAGTTGATGGCCGAAAAAACAAAAGACTCATTCAAATGTGGACATCATTTAGGAAATTGCCGATAAAATCTGATCTTACGTATGGGGCGAGTTTTTTTTTTGCTTAAAAAAAGAACTCGGTAAAGTTTACATTGTAAAGTACATTCAGTCTCACCAGCTTAGTAAAGTTTTCGATACATTCGACTCGGTAAAGTCACGCTGCATTTGAATGACTAGGATTGGCAAACCAGAGCTTAGTAAAGTTTTGAGAAAATGACACAAACAGTCTCTGAACTTTGACCAAATATGCAATCTGATCCCTAAACTTTTAATTTATTCAATATAATCCCTAAACTTTATTCTAATATTCAATGTGATCTCTGAATTTTTAATTTGTTCAATATGGTCCTTGGACTTTTGGTACATGTTCAATTTAGTCCCTGAATTATATGAAAAATGTTCAATGTAGTCCCTGAACTTGAATTAGTTCAAGGACTACATTGAACATTTTTCATATATTTCAAAGACTAAATTGAACATGTACCAAAAGTCCATGGACCACATTAAATAAATTAAAAGGTCAGGGACTATATTGAACATTAGACTAAAGTTCATGGACTACATTGAATAAATTAAAAGTTCAAGGATCAGATTACACATTGAGCCAAAAGTCAGGGACTGTTTGTGTCATTATCCCTAAAGTTTTCAATACTACTTTTTCGTGTGAGCTCGGCATTTGAATGACCTGGATTGGCAAACTAGAGCAGCCTCCGCGTGCCCCATGTGTATATATCTAGTTGTCTCGGCCAACTTCTGAAAGCGGAATGACCCAATAGAGAGATTATAAACTCCTTTTTCTTGGGTACGTGAGATTATCAGTTTCTAATTACTGTTTTTCGCGGCGAATAATGCGTGAGTACTTGTGGTTCGCCTGCGGGGTGACGGTTTCCGCCATCCTTTTCACCGCTCTTCTGTTCAAGGATTTCTTGAAGAGAAGTGCAGGTCACTTGGCTACCAAAGCTGGATCCATAAAGATGCAGCTGTCCACAATGGAACAGCAGCAGGCAGGCCCGCTCTTGATATTGATACAGCACCAGTTAAGAGGACGGCAACTTCTTTGTCAGGATATGATTATGAGGTGTTCTTGAGCTTTAGAGGGCCGGATACCCGAGCGGGCATCACCGACTTCCTCTACACGAGCCTAGTCGGTGCAGGGATCCGTACGTACAAAGACGACAAAGATCTCCCACACGGGAAAGAGATCGGCCCGGAGCTCCTCCAAGCGATTCACCAATCGAAGATTTCCATACCCATCTTCTCGAAAGGCTATGCCTCTAGTAGATGGTGTCTCCAGGAGTTGGTCCACATGGTGAAGTGCAAGAAGACTCGGGGGCAGATCATCATACCTATTTTCTATGATGTGGCGCCTTCGGAGGTCCGACTGAAAACCGGGGTCTACGTGGAGGCCTTGTCTTTGCACGAAAGCAAGAAGCTGTACGGCGACGAGACCATTCGAGAGTGGAAGGCGGCTCTCAAAGAAGCCGGAAACATAAAGGGATACAACCTGCGTAGCTTGCCCAACAGGTGACTCCTTCCCCATCTTAGAAAATCTTGTCCAGTTTGCATATTTGCATTCATCATCTCTAGTTGAGTTCTTTGCTGGATTTGTGTTGCTCTGTATTTGTTTCTGTTGAAGTTAGACCTGATGCAAAAATTGGCAGTGTGCATAGAGTTTAAATAAATGGGAGATAGATCTCAACAAGTTCAACTCATATTTATTTTGTGCATTTCAATCAAAATTATCCGACTTCTGGCAGGTCAATTCACCGACACGGGACAGGTAAAGTCAATTATAATTGAATTGAGGACTTAGAAAGATATTGTTGCAAACGGATGGTTAAGGTTTTCTGATTTTGTCTGTCACAGCATTCGGTTCAATACATTTTTCTAATTCCTCGTGCTTTTGACAATGAGGAATATCAGGCAGGAAGGTGAGTTTGTGAAGCAGGTAGTCAAGGACCTTCTCGGCGCATTGAAGAAGGCTTTTTTGGTAGTATCTGACTGCCTGGTTGGAGTCGACGATCATGTGGGTGAAATTATGCGAATGATAGGCACTCAGATACAAGAAACACGGATCGTCGGAATCCACGGAATGGGTGGTGTTGGAAAGACAACTCTCGCCAAAATCATCTACAATCAACTCTCAGCCGATTTCGAGGATTGCTGTTTCCTCTCCAACATTCGAGAAACTTCGGAGCTTCACGGTATTGAGCGGGTGCAGAGTCAGCTCATCTCTGATGTTCTGAAACAGAAGGGGACCGACATAAAAAATAGCCCTGAAGGGAGTAAGATAATCAAAGAAAGGCTGTCAAGTAAGAGGGTTCTTCTTCTTCTCGACGATGTCGACCAAAAGATTCAACTGAATGCGCTTATGGGCAAGCGCGACTGGTTTGGTGAAGGAAGCAAGCTTATAATTACGACTAGAAACAAAGACATTCTCAACGGTTTCGAAGTGAATTATCGTTATGATCTTACTTGTATGAATGATGACCAATCTATTCAACTTTTTAGTAGACATGCCTTCAGAAGAGATTGTCCGTTGGACGAGCATGCCACCCTCTCCCAAAAGGCAGTGGACATTGCTGGAGGCCTGCCTCTTGCGCTTGAGATTATAGGTTCACTTTTATCATGCACCCGTAAAGATATGTGGGATGCTAAGCTGAAGGCGTTTGAAAGGACTCCACGTGAAGTTCAGAGCAAGCTGAAAGTAAGTTATGACGCATTGGATGATCGGCAGAAGTATATCTTCCTCGACATAGGTTGTCTATTTATTGGATGGGACATCGATACTGTGATTCATGCGTGGGATGAGTCGGAGTATTCCCCGGAAGAAACGATAGAAATTTTACACCACATGTCTCTGATAAAGATTCAAAAAGATAAAAAGCTGTGGATGCATGATCATCTAAGAGACCTCGCCAGAGAAATCACTCGGCAGGAATGTAAAAGGCGATATGCGAACCAGCGCAGGGTGTGGGATCACAAGAAAGCATTTGAATTGCTAAAGACACGCAAGGTAAGTGCCAGTACAACGTATTTCCGATTCGAGAAGACAATTTATATGCCTCGGCTACCGCACTAACGTATAACCTCTATATGATATGATAGCAGTAAACCGTTGAAATTCATAAACCAGAATTCATGTGCTTCCATCTCGTTTTCATTTTGGGCAGGAAAAAGGAAAAGTTGAAGCTATTTGTCTAAAGTTTGACCATCGGCAGGATTACCGTTTTACATGCGGAGACTTCTCTAGACTACCAAATCTGAGGTTCCTCCATGTTGATAGTCTAAACTTGCCCGAACACGTCCTGGAAAACTTTCGTGCGCAATGTAGGCTTTCGTGGCACAATTTGCCATCCAAGGCTGTTCAGAGGTCAGGTCTCCTGCCAAAGCTGCAATGGCTCTCTTGGCATAATTATCCTCCAAAATTTGATATAACCAAATTTTCCTTGGTAAATCTAGCCATTCTTGATCTGTCGTGGAGTAAACTGACGGACAGTTGGGATGGTTGGAGTCACATAGAGGTATGTTATATGCTTGGGACCATCTGTTAATCATTATCGTGCATTTATGTGTGCTCACGAAACTTATCTTGGCATGACCCTTTTATTACAGATGGCGAAGAATTTAAAAGTGCTGAATCTGACTGGTTGCACACGCTTGAAGAAAACTCCTGACTTATCTGCAAATGTGAATTTAGAGAGATTGATCCTAGAGAAATGCAAAATCTTGGAAGAAATTGATAGGTCTATCAGTCAGTTGCGGCACCTAGTATTATTAAACCTCAATTTCTGCAAGAAACTCCGCTACATCCCAAAGGAGCTTGGCGATATGGAGTCTTTGAAACTCTTGATTGCTGGGACGTCGATAGAGGATATGCTCGAAAGTCAAGTTGATACGGGAGCATCAAGTCCTATGGAACAAATTTCCCCCCCATATGATGTTTCGTCGAGCAGAAAAGCCCAAATCTTTTTCCGGCAAGCAAAGGCCCATTTCCACAACAAGTTGATTCGATGTGGGTTGAAGAGGTGATTTTATAGGGAAGTTGCCGGTTCAATAGGCTAGTCGTCGATGACTACCAAAATGTCGATTTACAAGTTTGTTGTCGACTTCGAGTCTACTAATCGACTATCTAGCGACTGGAGGCTGCTCTTGTCGATTTCTATTGTTGTTTGTCGATCTTCCAAGGTGGCTGTTCGGCTATGCAGACCGATGGATGAATTTGGATGGCTGTTCGGCTATGCAGACCGATGGATGAATTTGGAAAGTCAAGAATAAATTACTATGCATCAAGTCAAGTTACAATGCATTTAATCCTAGTTTTATAAGATTATGATGTCGGTTTCAAGAGCCTTAATTATGTGCATACTCCAAGAGTCAATGGCTTGTTTTGATCTTATTTGTTTTATATATTTTTTATGTTTCAATGGCTTTAAATTGCTAATTAACTTACCTAATGAGGTCAAGTCAAATTACATGACTTCTAAGTACATCATTTTGTCAATTTACAATGTGGTGAACCAGTGATTTATCTAATATATCCTTATAAATTGTTGCTTTGCATTACTGAATTTGAAGCTGGTCGATGCCGCTGCTTTACGACCCAAGATTTCCTAGCTTTCGAGGCATAGGAATTCGTTCCCTGCTAGCCTCTAAACGTTAACTTCTTTATACCGTATACGATAAAGTACCTGTTATAATGTGTTTGAAAATATATCAGCCTTATAGCATCACCTCTACAGCAATAAGCAACCCAAAATTGCAGTGTGGCAAAATTCTATCTAGTATTGAAAAATTTAACTGCAAATTATTTTCTTTGCGCCTTTTTTTTTTCTTTTATAGTAGATAATCTGCAAGCATTAACCGAGAGAGTGAAGAGCCGCATCTCCGGCAACATCATCTGAAATGGAGAACTTTCCTACTTGAGATCTGGGAGAGTCAATGTTTTCTCGATCATCATAGTCATTGGAGAGGCTTCCGAGTTCGATCGGGAACTTGGAATTGTTAATTTAGTTGGATATATCAAACAAGGGCATCAAAACTCAGTAGTGAGGATGAATCGGAGTCCCCTGAGAGAGATGTTATCTTTAAAGGTGGAAGTACTGATATGAATATGTGCGGAAGATGATCGTTCTACGAAGATCTATGAGTTACGAATTGCTGACCTCGACCCCCAATCGAACCTGTGATTAGTAATCTCGGTATGAACGCGACCTGTTGACGAACCTGTGTCAACCAATCCACGCTATAACGCCACGAACAAGAGAATTCGCGATCTTGCTCGATAAGTTGAATTCGATCGCCACAAGGGAACCTTGATAAGATCTAGTCCTCAAGAGAACTCAAGAAGAAAACTTCTCTATATAAAATTCTATCTCTGCCTCTTAGAAATCTATAAGCAACCTTATATAGGGTGCTAACCCTAATCCTAATCCTACTAGGATTAAAATTACAAAAATAACCTTAATTGCTAAAATTCGTCCAAAAATGGAAAAAAGGCCTAAAAGTTCATCTAAACGACTCCAAATCGCTAAAAAACATCATCAATCACTACTAAAGTAGTGAGTATTGATCAGCGGCCCGTTTCCAAGCGTCCATCCAAATTTGAGCCAATTCGGTGTTCGTCAATTCTAAGCTCATTCGGAATTCGTTGGACCAAGAGTAATCATGTTGCGCCAAGGAGCTTCAGAATCTTCAAGTCTCGAATCCAGATTGTCTCCATTCCAAATATCTTGAACCATGATACCGACAGCTTGTTTGAATTCCTTCGCTCTCGCTCGAGTAATCGGGCCTAGCGAATAGAATAACGGGTCCCTAGCACCTCCTCCTCGATAGGGTTCGATGTCCACATCATTCCCTCCCCCGTGCAAAGGATTTGCCCTCAAATCAGCATCTGCATCAAAAAGAGTCAAATCAGAAACATTGAAAAGTAGCACTAATACCATACTCACCTGGAAGGTCAAGCTTGTAAGCATTATCGTTGACTCTTTCCAACACCATAAATGGTCCATCCCCTCGCGGTAGCAATTTAGAGCGTCGCTATTTGGGAAAACGCTCTGTGCGCATATGAACCCAAACCCAATCACCGGGTTCAAACACTACTTTCTTGCGCCCTTTGTTGGCTTGCTTTGCATACTACTCTGTCTTAAGCTCAATATTCAGCCGCGTCTTCTCATGCAAAGTCTTCATAAATTCAGCTTTCTTAGCACCATCTAAATCCACACGCTCAGCAACAGGTAAAGGGGTTAAATCTAACGGAGTTAAGGGATTAAAACCATAGACAACCTCAAACGGTGTGAATTTAGTAGCAGAATGCACGCTCCTATTATAAGCAAACTCAACATGCGGTAAACAATCTTCCCAAGACTTAATATTCTTTTTGATGATAGCACGCAATAATGTCCCTAAAGTCCTATTAACTACTTCAGTTTGACCATCAGTTTGTGGATGATAAGTAGTAGAGAATAAAAGTTGTGTACCTAACTTCTTCAACAATGTCTTCGAAAAGTAGCTTAGAAATTTAGTATCTCGATCAGAAACAATGGACCTAGGCATGCCATGCAAACGCACAACCTCACGAAAGAACAATTCGGCAACATTCGATGCATCATCAGATTTATGACAAGGTATAAAATGAGCCATCTTTGAAAATCGATCAACAACCACAAAAATAGAATCCTTGCCATGCTTAGACCTAGGCAATCCTAATATAAAATCCATAGAGATATCAACCCAAGGATGCGTCGGGATAGGCAAAGGTGTATACAAACCATGTGGTTTAATCGTAGACTTAGCCTGCTTGCATGCGATACATCTCTCACAAACTCGTGTGACATCTCGTTTCATGTGTGGCCAAAAAAAATGTTCATGCAGCACTTCATAAGTTTTATTGACTCCAAAATGCCCCATTAAACCACCACTATGTGCCTCTCGCACTAACAACTCGCGCAAAGAGCATCTAGGCAAACACAACTTATTTTCACGAAAGAGATATCCACCATGCCTATAAAACTTTTCAAACGCAGCATGCTCACAAGCTTCAAATACTCTTCCAAAATCATCATCGTCAGCATATAAATCTTTGATATGCTCAAAACCTAGACACTTTGCTCCTAGAGTAGTTAGAATTGCGTACCTTCGAGAAAGTGCATCGGCTACCACATTTTCCTTACCTTTTTTGTACTTGATTAGATATGGAAAAGTCTCAATGAACTCCATCCATTTGGCATGTCTTTTGTTCAACTTTTGCTGCCCCCTCAAGTATTTTAAGGTCTCGTGGTCGGTGTAGATCACAAACTCTTTTGGCCACAAGTAATGTTGCCAGGTCTCCAAAGCTCGCACCAAAGCATACATTTCCTTATCGTAAGTCGGATAATTCAATGTCGCTCCGCTTAACTTCTCACTGAAATACGCTATGGACGTCCTCCTTGCATCAACACAGCTCCAATTCCTGTACCAGAAGCATCGCATTCTATCTCAAAAGTAGTACTGAAATTCGGTAAAGATAACAAATGAGCATTAGTCAACTTATCCTTTAACAGATTGAATGCTCTCTCTTGTTCTTCTCCCCATGTGAAACCCACGTGCTTCTTGATAACCTCGGTTAAAGGTGCGGCGATGGTGCTGAAATCTTTTACAAATCTACGATAGAAACTGGCTAAACCATGAAAGCTGCGCACCTCTCCTACTGTCTTAGGTGTCGGCCCTTCACGGATTGCTTTCACCTTTTCTTCATCAACCTGTATTCCATCAGCACCAACAACAAAACCTAGAAATACTAATTTGTCAGTTACAAAACAGCACTTCTTTATGTTAGCATATAATTGCTCAGCCCTTAAAACCTGCAAAACAGCTCACACATGCTCAATATGGTCATCAAGGCTTTGACTATATATCAAGATATCATCAAAATAGACAACTACAAATCGACCAATAAAAGCACGCAGAACATGATTCATAAGTCGCATGAAAGTACTAGGTGCATTAGTTAAACCGAATGGCATGACTAACCACTCATATAACCCGTACTTGGTCTTAAATGCAGTTTTCCATTCATCCCCCTCTTTCATCCTAATTTGATGATAACCACTTTTCAGATCAATTTTAGTAAATATGCAAGCTCCATGCAATTCATCCAACATGTCATCTAGCCTAGGAATAGGATGTCGATACTTTACCGTTATGTTATTAATTGCTCGGCAATCAACACACATTCACCAAGACCCATCCTTCTTTGGCACCAACAAAACAGGAACAGCACACGGGCTAAGAGACTCTCTCACATATCCTTGCTTTAGTAATTCGCTAACTTGCTGCTGAAGTTCCTTTGTCTCTTCAGGATTGCTTCGATATGCGGGTCGGTTAGGCAATGGTGCACCAGGAATCAAATCGATTTGATGCTCTATGCCTCGAATCGGTGGTAAACCTCCAGAAAGTTCATCAGGAAAGACATCTTCAAATTCCTGCAACAAAGACACGACAGAACTTGGCAAATTCGGGTCAAGTTCGTTAGTAGTAAACAGTGTCTCCTTATACAAAAGTACAAGTATCGGTCGGTCCAGAATCAAAGCTCTCCTCACTTCACTCGATTTTGCATAGAAATTCTTTTCTCTCTTTTCTTTTCTCTCTCTTTTTCTCTCGGTTTTTACCACTCTACTCTTATCTTCCTCTCCTTTTACTTGCGTATCAGAGTTTCCACGCAGGCCCTCAGTTTTATCACTTTTTCTCTCTCTCTCAGCCTCACGTTGTAGTTTCAATTGATCTTCATACACCTCAGTAGGTGTCATTGGCACCAATGTGTATGTCTTCTGATTCATCACCAATGAATATCGGTTAGTGTACCCATCATGATGTACCTTTCGATCATACTGCCATGGCCTACCAAGTAAAAGATGCCCTGCTTGCATAGGTATAACATCACACATCACCTCATCCTTATATCGCCCTATCTCAAATGGAACTCGGACTTGCTTCGATACTTTTACTTCACCACTATCATTCAACCACTGCAATCTATATGGTCTTGGATGCTTCGTAGTCTTCATTCCCAACTTCTCCACCATGGTACAACTTGCTACATTTGTACAACTACCTCCATCAACAATCAAGCTACAAATCTTACCATTCACCAAGCATCTTGTATGGAACAAGTTATCGCGTTGCTGGTGATGCTCCTCCTCTTTGACTTGAACACTAAGAGAACGCCTAACCACCATCAATTC